ATACGCGACTGAAATGTGTTATTTTTGTTCCACGCAACACCAGATTTCGTGGACAAATTTATTATTTCTCACACTTTATGATTCGTCCAACAAGTTCCTGGTCGGTAAAGTAACAGAGAACGGTGGGAAATTGTAATTTAGCAACACCGCCTAATACAGCAAGAGAGAGAGATTGAGCATGACATTTGTTTTTTTTTTCCCCGCGAATGGCAAATTCCTCTTCTGCTGTCAACTGTTAAGCGTTTGTAAACGAAGTGAAAGAATAGGTTTGTGTTTGTGGTGAATGTGTGATCTTTTCCTACATTACTGAAGCCAGTTTATTTAAGAATTCAATAGGAAGGTCACAACAGGAAAGGCAAGCTTGCGTTCAGTGGTTGTCGGATATAAACCTCTCCAAGTAGGCAGCGGGTTGGAGTGAAGTACCTGGTGGTCTATCGCCAGTAACTGCCTTCTATTGAAACCCCTGGATGTAAATGTTATTATTAACTTCTCACTTAACTATTTATTCGCCATTTCAGTTTTTTTCATGTAAATTTTTTTCATTATGTTTAGTTTGATGTTAACTTTATTCGTATTACGATAGTTACAGCTTAAACATCTCACTTCACTGCATATATGTATATAAATTTTACAGCATAGCACAAGATTTATGGGCTATTAAGAACTTGTAACTTAGATCATGAAAACATTTTGTTTTGTTTCAACTATTACTTTCATGTTATTTGGTACACAAAAAAACATTGAAAACCTTTACAATTGTTCCCTATAAATTTTGTGTTGCACGGTGTGCTTTGTTTCATTTGTGTAATTAAAAGGTAGTTTAATACTCCAGTTAAGAAACTATGCATACTCATTACATTGCGATCTTTTTTCACTGATCAATCAAACATAAAAATGTGGGGCAAAGAGGTTGACACAGCCTGACTAGCAGAATTTCCTGCCGAATGCTTTTGTCTTATCCTATCAAAAATTTCAAATAAACTACCAGTACAGGATTAATGCATGTTAACTTCTTAGGCCCTCCACTCCATGACAACAAGGAGAAACTCCTAAAATATTTCTGATGGAAAATGCAACACAACTAATTCTTATTCAGGTCATCCAACAAGGGATGCGGAATCTATGATTTCTGAAAATTGCAGTTGTCATTTTGCCAAGCAGTGCAATTTAAGAAAGAATTTAAGTCATCTCCTCCCATCCTAGACTAATACATGTATGTGTTGTACCTCAAAGTACTCACCTCATATGGACCTAGTCATTCATTTTAGAAACAAAACTACTTATAGGGCAAATACTGATTATGTACAGAGCAGTGCTTCTAGAACATATGTACTAGGTTGACATACCTTCATGCCCATCATACCCCATCTGTTCCCCCACATTTTTACAGATGAATTTTCGATACAATCGTCCCTTTGTTTTACCGCGCGTCCACACCAATAGGGCAAATAACACTTTCATACTCGCAATGTCCCGGCTATTCAACGCATCTTCTCATAATACATAGATTATTTCTTAAATTCTAGTTCAAGGATGAAAAAGTTTTACAAATTAAACACTTTTACCATTCTATTTAACATAGATTTATCATAGATTATTATTGTCCTTTTAAAAGTTGTAAAAGTTACTTAATTCAGCCTTCGGGCTGCGATGTGATTTAAATAAACCATCTATCTATCTATCTATCTATCTATCTATCTATGGTATCAGGACAAAAAATGCCATGTTGGTCTGGCACGGAAGAGAGAGTAAGCTAGTTGGGATTGATGACAGCTTGTCACCCTTCTTCCTTGAAGATCCAGACAATTGCAAAATTATAGAATATTGATGCACGTTTTCTCAGGATATTTACTTTAGGATGGTTAGTTTTAAACCACAATTACACTTTTGTTCAATGTTCTCTAATCCTTTTGTTTCCTTTTTTGCAGGTACCCCAGAAGCAAAGAACTGAATTTGATGAATGAGAATGACATACTTCTCCTTTTTTCTCACAATTTGGAAGTAAAATAAAATATTAATTAACAATGTACATAATTAAAAATATGAAGAGAAAATTTTTTTGTCAGTACTGAAAGACAACTACCAAACCACCCACGATTTCAAATGTATCTCTACTTTGTAGATTCACCAGCAAGTAAAAGTTCACATTATTTGAGGGCTAATATGTAATGAAGATTTAAGAGACACCCAAGAAAAGTACACCCCACTACCTTTCATGTTGTCTCCTCCTTAGCCCCAGGAGGGAGGAGTAGATGTACTTTGGCAATTTTTTTCCGAAATGTAATCAGTTCATCTCAAAGTACAGTAGATTTGGAATAGAAAGAAGGGAGGATAGTGAAGTCCTGGATGACTTTGGAAGCACTAGGACTTCAATGTGGCACAGAAAAAGGCATCAAAAAAGGCATTGAAAAATTTGTAACAACATGGCTATTTGAATCAAATATATTTTGGAAGGTAAAGAAAAAAAACCTTTTCAATGAGATTCAAGTCAATTACTGAATAATTAATTCCCTTTACATTTATTTACCAAAGGAATATTGGTTATGGAGAGACCATGTGGTGTGGTAATAAATGTGGGAGAGTTGTTTGGATCAGAGGGGAAAGCGCAAGTGTATGTTAAGCTGCACAGCCTTTTGGATAAGGAAAAGTTTCATGAAACAAGTGAGTGAGGTTGTATGTGATCAAAATGAGTGTTGTAAGAGCTTGGAAAAGGTGAACATTTAACACTCACAAAATTCTGCTTTATGTCAATGGTACTTCTAGGAGAAAGAACAGAGACATGAATTTGCTGTGACAGAACGTAATCAATAGAAATCATACTTAAAAAGACAAACCAATACGAGATAATTATATACCCCTACTTATCTTTAATTCCATCAACACATTTAAATGATTTATACTCATCAAAAAGTATGGAAAACACTAGTATACAGATGATTTTTTTTCTCTTAGGTACCATATACTATGATGATGCATGTCATCTGAAAAGATTTGCTCAGAATCCAGTACAAAGAGAAAATACAGATGTGGCAGAGATGGAAATTGCATGTATTCGATTTCACTTTCGAAATCACATAGATGGTTTGTGTAGGTTTCACTGCAATCCTCTCAAATCTAACAGACTCAAGGTAAATACTTCTATCAATAAATTTGTGCTATACAATATATTAGTACAATCCATGATAAAAAATTCAATTAAAGTGATATACTTTAGTCTTTTACTGACTGAATTTTAAGAACTCAACCAACCGACCTTGAGTTGAAAAAATCCAAATATAATACCTTGTATTTTTTTTTGACTTGCATTAGCTCCCCAAGTAGCCAAGCCAAGTGTAAGATGTGGTCATATATGGTTGATCAAACATTTCAGCACTTTGAATTTTAGAAACGTAATAAATACCATATCAACTTGTGTTTAAGTGAAACTCGTGTATAGGTCGACCCCCATATTCAAGCTCAAAAATTTGATTTTTCATCCTTTCTTGTTAAAGTAAAATTCACACCAATAGCAATTTCCCATAAAGTTAATGAACCAGCCGTACATGAACATACAGATTACAAACGTACATCAACTGATTCCAATATTGCAACTGACCAAGAAGACGGTGCAGACAAAGAGGTTTGTGTTAATTCTCCCGACCCGACTTCATAAACTGTAAATGTAAAGTCACTCAACACAACGGCAATCCTAACCCTAACCCTAACCCTAACCCTAATCACAACTCACAACAGTCCAGGCATTACAAGGACATATCTGGAGTAACAAAAATGAGTTGCAAACTACTATGCTTGCTTACTAAAGAAAACCTCGAGGGAGAAAAACACTGAGAAAGGTCACTGACTTAAAGAAAAAAAAAATAAAACAATGAAAGATAAGCATGAGACGACAGCAAAGTCTGTCAAGTATGATTTCCCACAGGAAATTCGCTCCTGAACATTACTTCGTCCATATTACTGTGGAAACGATAATTTTTGGTGAATCGTGAGAGCGTTAATTTGCTGGTACTCTACGAATCGCAGCAACGACAGCGAATAACAGTGTGAGCGCTGCGATTTAAATACGCCCTTAATCTTGCTTCCGTTTCCTAAACTTGACTTGCATGTCCATAACTGTTTCTGGGAAGTATGTCAGATGTTTCAGAGGTCACTTCTAATTCTCAAGTGCCAATGAAAGCGCCGTAGGTCTCCATTATATTTTAGTACATACCATAGTTGTAGTTGTTGTAGACAACCAAGTCTATCCCAAAAGCGATTCACAACTGAAATGCAATTTTTTGCTAACAGTGACCTCGAGGCAAACACCTTTTCATCAGGAAACTTTGATGCAGGAAAGCGCCTGAGGAGTGCTGTGTGGCATTTCTTTACAAGGTCTATCGAGGTTGTGGGAACCTCACAATGCACTGTCTGGTCTGATATTGTGAAGCACGCAAACAACACGTCAAATCTATTTAAGGTATTGTCCACTGAAGGGCTTTTTAATATTGTATCATAAATTGAAGATTATTCATATTCTCTTTTATAGCACTTGAAATTAAAACACCCGGCTCAGCACAAGGAAGCTGAAAACCAAAGAAAAGAGGAGGAAGAAAAAGCATCCAAGAGGCATAAGACCACTGACAACCTGTAGCAGCATACCATATCAGAGATGGCACAAACTTGGCTAAAGTATTCGCCGACTTGCGCGCGAAGCAAGAACATTGATCAGGCCCTTATAAGAATGATTGCAATCAACATGCAACCAGCAACCATTGTAGAGGACCCCGGATTTCAGTCGCTGGTGTGTTTGCTTGATTCTTGATACCAGCTGTCCTCCAGAAGACACATAATGAGAAGTTTGCTACCTGATATGTACACAACCCGTGCCGGAGAGATAAAGCGGGAACTTCTGCAGATTTCTCACGTAGCTCTGACTAGTGACCTGTGGACATCAAGAACAACGGAAAGTTATCTTGCTATCACCTGCCACTTTGTTACTTCCACGTGGGAACTCAAGTTCCTGGTTCAAGCGATGTTTGGGTTAAAAAAAGACCACACGGCTGAGCACATTGCGGCGTCATTTCCAAAAGTTGCAGAAAAATGGGGAATTTCCCGAAAAGTTGTTGCGATGGTTACTGACAATGCTGCCAATATTGTTGCCGCCGTCAGACACACTGGTTGGACACATGTCCCTTGCTTTGCACACACCCTGAATCTAGTGGTTTCTGAGGCAATTAAGGCTGAAACAAAGATCCATCAGCTTAGAAAGAGCTGCAGGGACATTGTGAGCTTTTTCCACTTCAGCATTAAGGCCTCAGAAAAGCTAAAGGAGATACAACTACAGCTGGGAATTCCTGAGAACAAACTCATCCAAGACATAGAAACCAGATGGAACTCAACTTACTACACGTTGGAACGCATCACGGAGCAACATCAAGCCATTACCACAGCACTTTGTCTCTCTGGTTGTAATGCAATATGTCTTTCATCTTCTGATGTGAGCCTGCTGAAAGCTGCCATGGCCGTTTTAAAACCCTTTGAGGCAACGACCAAAGAGATTTCTGCAGACAAGCATGTCTCCATTTTTAAGGTGATACCTCTGGCGAACTCACGACAGTGTTTGACTGGTGCGATTACAGAAAAGGACACACCCCTGGTTTCCAACCTTAGTTACCAGATGAGACACCACTTCACAAATATTGAAAGCGCTTGCATGCTGGCGATGTCGACCTTATTGGATCCCCAGATGAAGAAATTGGCGTTCAGTGACTCCGCAGCCATGAGACAGGCAGAGCAGTGGGTTGTTCAGGAGATGTCAGGGCATGTCCAGACTAATGATTCCAATGAAGATAGGCAGTCAAGTAATACAACTGAAGCAGCTGGCCTGTGGGATCTCTTCGACTCAGTGGTCCAGCAATCAACATCACAAAGAACCTTAACCAGCAATGCCACACTGGAAGCCAGAAAGTATTTTGAAGAACCAGTGCTAGCAAGACTTCAAGATCCCTCACTGTGGTGGAAGGAGAATAAGCGATACTATGAACTTATCGCAAAAATTGCAAAGAAGTATCTTTGCATCCCTGGTACATCTGTTCCCGCCAAAAGGGTGTTCTCTAAAGTAGGGGAGCTAGTCTCCATGAGGCGTAATCGGTTGAAGCCAAAGATTGTGAACATGTTCTTGTTTTGAAACAAAAATATCTGAGATTTTTCCTTACCTGCTGCTGTCTAAGCTCTTTTTTTTTAGCTAACTTGGCCGGCTGAAAGTAAAGTAGACGCTAGTTACCCGATATTGTTTTTTTAACGATATTGATTTCACTTGAGGTCTAGTAATATGTATCAAGTCCCTATGTTCACTCGTCGAATAGTATGTATGGCCCTTCTGTATGGTCCTGTATACCAGGGAGGCTCTGATGTATCGAGTATTAAAGCGCAAGATCCATAATAAGTCGGGTACCCGTGTTTGGTTATTATAAGTGACCCGTGCAGTAGCTGGTAAAATTTCATTGTGTACTTGCAGATTGCTTAAAGAATGTACCATTGCAGTTTCTCTTCATTTCCTCGAGAAAATTAAAAGTGTGTCCCAGTAAATTGAAATTTTTGACTTGACTGTCTTGTTGATGCTACTATAGAGAACTGAACCGGAAACCATGCGAGAGTGCCATAATTTAGTCAATTAGATCACGTGACTTACATTTATTTCAATGACGTCAAAGTATCGGTATCGATATCGAAGAAAAAAGGAAATATCGTACTCGGTATCGTATCGATTCAAAAAAGGCCGTATCGGCCCATCCTTACCACTACCCGCAGCAGAGAACCCAGATTCAGAGACTTTACCTACAGCACCAAGACGAACAAGGTGGGAAACAGCTCGAAAACACAAGAATAAATTCAAACAATCAAGAACTGCACCAACAAATTCCATAGCTATTACAGTCAATGAACTTTTAGTATAATTAGTGATAACTGCCTTGTTAGTATTATATGGAATATATATTTAGGTTAATAATTTTAATGATTAACTAAGTTCACATGTCGAGGACGACAAATGTTAAGCAGGGGAGTGTGTGACCAGGCTCACAAAATGCATGACATTTTTGGCATACTTTTAGAGTTACATCTGCAGAAACTATTTACTGTTGGTAATCAAATCATCCCACATAGCATTTGCACCATAAATTTCCTGTGTCTCACACTATCACACCTAGCTTCAAAATCATAAGAATTTCCTGCTATTGTTTGATTCCTCATAGAAGAAGTACAGTTTGTTAGCTTAATTCAGTAGTTCAGAGTGTAAAGACCTGCACTTACAAGCTCAGGACCTCTTGGTCACAAAAAGTAACTCCATTGTAACCGCAAGTTGGTGACCTATTTGACTGAGGATTTGTTATGTCACATTTGACCTTGTTATTATGTCTTAGAGTTTAAGTTCAAGAATAATAAAGTTCATAGGTACTTATCTCAATCTAATTGTCTAGTCTTTGCTTGAATCCTTAGTTAATTCATGTTCAAAATTTGTCTAGAGTGTAGTCAGATTTCAGAACATTGTATTAATCTGTACCTTTCATTCACTAGACATGTTTTGCAATACTGTAGTAGAATGAGTTCATTGGTGAAATCGGATATTTCATTGTAGTTTTCATTGTTTAGTTCATGAATAATGACAGATGTTGTCCTGTCACAGAATATGTTGCCAGTTTTCCTAGTTTTATGTCAAAGGGAAAATATGAAAATGCTATTGAGATTAGTTTTGTTTAATATTATGTTGTTTTGAGCTATTGTTATATCAGTATTAACTTGTTTTCATTTATTTTATGTTCAGTTCTAAGAATAACTCACTATTCAATAGTTATATGTTTGGATAAGAGGATTAGTATTTTATTAAGTGTCACACAATGAGCACTGTTCTGTCGTGTAATACTTTGAAATTGTCTTGTTTGTTAAATTCAGTGCATTGCCATGACAATCTATTGTACTTTTACTAGTTGTTTTATTTTCATTATTTTATTGTAAATTATTTGTTAGTGATTTGCTATTTGTTATTTATTTCTTTTAGCTATCAGTCTCTCTCTTCTGTTTTAGTACTTTTCTGTATAAATAAATTCATTTGTGGCCAGAAGTCTGTCTCATTGTTCAAATAACAACATCAGAACCTGCCTTGGTCACATTAGGGTAAGGGAACACCAAAGAGCTTCAAAGGATCAAGCATAACAATTAAGACTGTGCAAGACAACAGCATTTGTCAGGTCACTAAGCTACTACAACTGTTTGATGAAAAAGGAAGTTCAGTGTCGTAAACAACAGTGAAGCTGTGAGAAAAAACGTGAGAAAAAATGTCTGCTCAGACACAACAGAAATCAACTCCATTAGCGTTGTGTTTAGGCCACTTAAAATTTATTTCAAACTCTTTTGTTGACGAAGATTGCGCTGAAAACTGACAAAACTTGAACAAATTCATTTAATTTCTTGGATTGCTTGGGTCAGGTCATCGTGTACGACTTGTAGAAGTCGAGGGTGATTTTTTGGGCTGATTTTTTCTCATAAAAGGTCTACTTATACACAAGTAAATACGGATTGCTTGTAAGATCTGCTTAAAGAATAATTTTGTAATTATGTACCTTCAGCTTTTCATCGTTTGTATCAATGGCTTTGCAAAACATATTTATGAGTCTAATCTTGAGCTATACATTTTCAAGTTTCTGTTTAAAGAAATTAAAAATTACTGTAGGAACAACTGTTTTCACGGTTGTTAAATTTTTCAGTTAAAACCAAACACATGAATCATTGTTTTCTCTTTGTAATGTTGTAAATAGTAAAAGTTGAATACACAACTTTTCCGTTGGCAATTTTCATTATTAAATGTATTAGTAGAAACCCAAAGACGCAAATTGACCAAAAGTAATCAAATAGAGCTCTAAACCTGCGCATGTGAATGGACCACTGTTTAAGTTAAATATGAGCGTATACTTTTACAATAACTTAAAAAAAACAATTTATTCGTTCATCTTTAGTTAAACATTAATCATTAATTATGGATTGACACAGTACCAGTTAAGCTTCATTATGAGAAAAAGGAGTGACAGTTTAACAATCAGAGAGAAAAGTAAATCTAATGGAGATCCTCAGGAGACCCAAAGAGAATGGCCAAGTCCAAATGCCGTGAAAATGTTAATGGTTAATGCACACCTCCATCAAAGAACACGAAATGTTTATGGATGCATTTGGATGTTCAGCCAAATCGTCCAAATCTCTTGTGCATGACAAAACCTTTTTCTAGCAGTTAGTCTAGATCATCATCATTTTGGGAATGAACACTGTCACAGTACGAGTAGTAGGACAGGCCATATAGGGGCATGCACGCCCTTAGCGTTTTGCAATCACTTGTTTGCTTGAACTCATGGCAAATAAAGTAGATTTCAAGAAAACTCATACTTGTCTCCAGACTCTACTTTATGACATGGAGTCAGAAGTGGGATCCTCAGAAGATACTGGGTCCTCCAGGTGAACAATTTTGAGGACATTAGTTACTTAGAGCACTACCAGAAAGTAATTAAATCCTTACCAGATGCCAACTTCAATTGCCTGAAGCAGGGAAATAGACCACTGGTGGCGTTTGTCACCAAAGCGCAACCGTTAGTAGAAGATGGCAGATACAATCCTTCTGCTGAAGAAAATACCCTCCGAGGTACAGTGGTATTTGGCATGGTGTCTGATAAGGTACACAAAGACAAAATACCACTTGGCAATGGGCCGACCTTAGAACAAGTATATGACCCTGCAAAAGTTGATGAAAGCACCACAGCACAAATAAAGAAAATTTCGAAAGGTGATGAGAAATCTGCTTTTTACACTGTTAAATGAGAATCTGCATACTTGACCCACTAAAACAGAGCTTCCAACATCAACCTCTGCAGGGTGACCAAACTCAAAAAGGTTCAGCCAAGACTTGCCACTATGCAAGAGTGTGCATGCAGCAACATTTTCAAAAGGTTTACCACATTGTGAGTGGTCCAGAGTACCAGGGCCTAAACATCCACCAAGAAGATGACTACCCCATGAATGACAATTATGGTGTCTACACATATGATGAAGAAATAAGCACTGAACCCATCGCTGTATTGCTTGGATCCTTTACCTCAAACAAAGGGGCAGCAAACTCAAGAAATGCACTTTATGCCCTTAACAGCCATCCAGACAAGATATACGCCAAGGTCATGATTAATGAAAACCACAACATCAGCTTGAAAGTAGATACTGGAGCAGATGCCTGCATAATCACCACCACAGATCTCCAGCACTTCCTTTATCCGCTTTCCATTCTTCCATGTAGCAATGTTTTAAGAGGATATGGAGGCTCTGAGATAGAAAATGTTGGTGCACCTATCTTAAAGGTCTCCTTAAAGGACAAGTAGGACAATATCAAATTCAACATCATGGATTCCCAGGAAGCCCATCCATGCTTGGTTTCTGACAATCCCACGATCTGGGCATAATATCAGCAAATTTAGATGAGGTTAATACCATTCCCCCACCAGGAAAGTAACTGAGTGGTCAGCTAACCAAGCCCACTGTTTAAGAAGAGTACAAAGCTTGCCTCAACAAGTTAGGTTGCTTCCCATGAGAGAGGCACCCCATTCAACCGATTTGACAACCCAGTTCCAGAAAAGTTTCTGGAAAAAATCTAGGGTGTGGTTTGACTCTAATTTGTCAATGCATGAGCAAATTACTAGAGTCAGCTCCACAGCATTCTACATTTGTATAATGTCAGGAGAATCCATAAATATTTGTCACAGCAATCTACAGAAACTCTTATTCATGCATTCATATCTAGCCGCCTAGATTATTGTAATAGTTTGCAATATGGCTCTCCTAGTTATCAACTTAAAAAATTACAACATGTTCAAAATGCTGCTGCAAGGGTAATTTTTCAGGAGGCAAAATATAATCATGTCACAACATTACTTGGAGAATTACAATGTCTCCATGCAAAATTCTGTATAGATTTTAAAATTTTACTTATTCCCTTTAAAGTTATACACAGGCAAACCCCGCACTATCTTAGTGAGCTAAATACCATTAAACAGAAGGGTAAATATAGTCTTCGATCTACAAGTAGTCTGACATTAAATTATTGTTCAATAAAGTTGCTCACTATGAATGGTGACAGGTTTTTTTAGTGTAGCTGCC